TCTTGGCTCAGCCTCCCTCGGGCATAGCACGGGCGCATTCCCACGATTATTGCACACGAATGGCAGGTGCTGGCTGGTGCCTCTTTAGGAATCAGTCAGGCATGCGTGTGACTGATACTGCACCCACTCACCCAAGGTGCTCTAGGAAGGCAAGATGGTCTCGTTACACTAGCACAGCTCTGTTATTGTGGTGGCTGTCATCCCGAGAGGCAGCAAGTGCAGAAAGATGCTGCAGTACAAGCACATTTCGAGGGCAACCATCTCAGCAGAATTCAGACCTGTTCCCACGGCTCATTTAGGAAGCTGCTGAAAACCCACCTGCCTGGGGAGACATTCTAACGACAGTCACCAGGCTGCTTTGCCTGCAGTGCACGTTTGTCTAGTTCCTTTACTCTGCTTTTCACTTGGGAGCCCCTTGGGGCAAGGTTTGTGTAACGTGTTTGGTACTTTGCACAGCTCTTTCCAGCTGCTCCTATATCTACAATACCAGAAAAATGATCTATAGAGCACTAATCACCATTGAAACGGACACTAAACTAGCATTTGAAACTCACTTGCATTCGTTCACTAGAGAAACCTAACTTACACTGTGTAGAGAAACTGCAGTGGCTGACAGGACGGTCTCGATGTAATATGCAAGCCTGGGGCTAGATTCTCAGCTAGGGTGAATCAGTGGAGTTGCACTAAAGTCACTGATTTACACCCACTGAGCATCTGGCCCACAGTATGTATTGATCAAGCACAGGCTCCATGCATAGTGCCGTTTAAGCCAGAAAAAAAAAGCCACTCTGCTGTGCAATGTACATTCAGCAAAACCCTCATTGTGTAAAGATCCCAGGGGAACCTTTGTAAAATCTGGGGTTTGGGCAATCGGGGATCCCTCATTACAGAGCCACTCAGCAGAAAGGAATCACCTGGCAACCGCAGTTCTGAGAACAGCTGGGCTCCAGGGAGTCAAAGCTGAGCTCGGCAGGTCTCGGCCCTGTGTACAGAAGTGCGTGCGTGACTACGGTTACTCAGACTGAACTGCCTCTCTCATTCTAACCTCGCCCCTCATCCCCCCTTTTTAATGGCTTGCAACCTTCTCGGATTCATTTCTGGGGCCGACTCTTTCCACCGGTGGTTTCAGCCCAAAGGTGAATTGATCGGGAAAGTCGGAGCCCAGTCAGTTCAGCCATTTTTGACTTACTTTAAAGAAAAGGGAAGAACACTCCCCCACACCCTTCACAATCAGAAATGGTGGCAAACCCAAGATCAGCCGACAACTCTGTACTAGCAGTAAAGCTAAGAGCAGCCATGCCCTGGAGTAAGGGGGTTTGCAGACACCAGACGCATGGGCACAAAGGCAGTGAGGCAGCATAAACTAACACGTCAGCAGTAGGGAGACGGCACCCAGCTCTACATCAGCTTCGCTCCAGGTCCATCTCCCCACAAGTCGAGTGCCGTGGTCAGATCAGCACGCGGTTGAAGAGCAGCTGGCTGAAACTGAACCCAGGACAGTGTGAGTTGATGCTGGCGGGGAGGAAGGAGCAGGTTGAAGAACTCCTCACTTGCATGGCATTGCCCTGCCCTGAGGGCGCAAAGCTGCCCTCACAGCAAACAGCCACCGCCACACAAAATGCCCTTTCCCACCGACGGCTGTGCCTGACACGATCTGATCTGGCCACGGCCATCCCTATATTCCTGCCCCTCCAGGTTGGTTATGGTGACACTCTGCACCTCAGATTTGGACAGCTAACCTTCAAAAAGCTCCCACTGGTCTGGACAGCAGCTCACTCATTCAGTAGCAGAAGCTCCACAGAGCGCGTCACCACGCGCTGCACTTTCATCGCTGCGTCACTGTAGATCGGAGTCTTCGGCCCTCATCTTCACAGCCGGCCCACGAACGGCCCAGGTTACCTGAGGGACCACCCCCCGTGCCACTGTGACCTACCACGGTAGCTTTGTTCCACTTTCAGCGGGAAACTCAGGGGAGCAAAAGACAGAGCTTCCTTGGCTACTGGTGCACGACTGGGGAGCTGGTGTCTGGAGGGGACACAAAAGCCAGCTCCTTCTGAATAGACGTGAAACCGACTGCTGTAACCCAGCCACCCCTCAAACCCAGCTATTTAGAAACCAGCTCTTCCCCCCACCAAATAAACCTCTCTACAGAAGCGGGGAGGAGAGAAGACGCGCGGAAGAGATGACTAGAGATCGTCTCGCTCTGGTGTTCACTTTAATGAACAGGTCAGGTGCTCAGAAACCACATGGATGGGTGCAGAGTGAGAACCTAGACAGGAAGGGCAGCTAAGCGAGTAACATTCATCTCAGTTATTCTGCTCTGTAAAGCAGAGAGTACAATGCAGAGGTCAGATAGGCGGCTACTGCCCACCAGTCCTTGAGGCTGCTGTGACACAGCACGGGAGGCAGTATGACCTCAGAAGGCCGGGGTTCTATTCCCAGCTTGGCTGCAGGTGACTTTGGGCAAGTCATTTCCCAGCTCCCTTGCCTCAGTTTCCCCACCTGTAAAACAAGGAGACATGATACTGGCCTTTGTCAAGTGTTTTGAGATCCCTGGATGGAAAGTGCTATATAAGACCCGTTATGTTCTTGCAACCACGAGTTACAGACACTTCGACATATGCAGCAGCCCTGTAAAATCAGAAGTCAAAATACGGGCAGTATGCCGGAGCTCACACAATCTGCACGATCCTTTCTGCACATAAGGTGATATAAAATTCCAGGGCTGTTGATTTAGCAGCTCAGACCAGTGTTACATGCTCTAAAATCGAAACGGAAAACAAACCTATAGGAAACAGCTCCGGATTAAGGCACGAATGCTGTAAATCCATACCTGAGGAATCAGTTGCTGGAGTCATGTGATTACATCCGCATCTCAGCTTTCATTTAAAAAGAAGTAGGCGTTTATCCCTTGTGTTTGCATGAGGCAAATTAATGGACGGTTCTCTCTAAGTCTGCAGACAAGCTGAAACTCTGGCCCTGGGAGGGGTGACCTGCATCACAGGCACCTCTAGGAGTGCTAACTCCCCCTCCTCTGAGGGCCACCAGCAACACTACCTACCTCAGGACTCTGTCAGGAGAAGGAGAGTGCTTCAATCCCAGCGCCTGTGCAGATACATCCCAGCTGCTGGGGTAAGTCTGGGGGGTTCCCCTGGCTGCTACCCCTGCCATTCCAGGGGGGAGGGGAGCTTGATGCTGCTCCTGGTGGAGTTGGAGGAGAAGATGGCCCCATGCTGCTTCCCCTGCCATCACCACTCCAAGTGGGGGAGAGGGGGCAGACTGCCATAACGTGGCCCCGATGGGACATAACATTATACACGGATCATATGAAAAGCACTACGGGATCCTCCTTCAGGGGCCCTGCTCCTGTTACTTTCAATGGCAGCAGGATCAGGCCCTCCCCTGTAGTAGCCCCCACACTGTAAGAACACGAACAAGCAGATACTAGAGTTCAAATAGGGAACGGATTCAAGAACAGTGCCTGGACTGGGAGGAGAGAATTGCAGTTGCTTTTGACACCCTGCCGTAAAAATTCAAAGGGCAGAAGGGCGAGTCTAGGCAGGGCTGGTAACAGAAGGGGCAGTGCAGATGGCTCCTATAGCAGAAGAAAGAGGAGTAGCCAGATGCAAATGGCAATGGTGTGTGTGTGTGAAGGTATGAAAGGGTTAATCGTCATCAAGGACACAGTCCTCTAAGCGAAATGGTGACCTTTCACTTTCAGTGTGGAAATGGTCTCTCTGGAGGCTTTGGCCAATCCTCCCATTTAGTAAAAATACTTCACTAAGGGTACGTCTACACTACGAGATTAATTCGAATTTAGATAATTCGAATTTGGGAAACAGATTGTATAAATTCGATTGTGCACGGCCACACTAAGCACATTAATTCGGTTTTTAACCACATTAATTCGGTGGTGTGCGGCCACACTACCCCATTAATTTTAACCACATTAATTCGGTGGTGTGCGGCCACACTACCCCTAATTCGAATTAACAAAATCGATTTTGGTGCTACTCCGCTCGTCGGGGTGGAGTACAGAAATCGATTTTAAGTGCCCTTTAATTCGAAGTAACTGGCTCCGTTGTGTGGACGGGTTAAGGATTAATTCGGATTAACGCAGCTAAATCCGAATTAAAGTCGTAGTGTAGACCAGGCCTCAGACACTCATTTCCATCTGCAGAGCTCCAAACACTTCACAGGAGGAGGTTCGGCTCATTCTCCTGGTTTTACAGAGCGGGCTGCAAAGAGATGAAGGAACCTGCCCCCATCACCCAGCCCTGGAATTCCAGGCTCTATCCAGGCTCTGCCTCCTTTAGATAAAAAAGCGAGAAAGCGAAAAAGATGCTGTAAAAGTGAGCAGACCCGGGAAGTTTAACAGCAAGGGTTGCCATAAACCTGCCGCAAACAAGTGCGATTGGTCTAAAAACCTGCGGAAAAGGCAAGACATGTCTGGGGAAAGGGTTTGTATCTGTGTGTCATGCCACAGGGCAGAGTTTGTGTCATAAGGCCATGCTGCCGGGTGGAGTTTGAGAAAAAACCAGCATAGGGCATAATCCCCTTCCCGCCCTAAAAATCAGACTCCAGAGACAAGCAGAAAAAAACAACACAGGCCACAACTGCATGAAAACAGCCGCCCAACGCCACCAAACAAGCCCAAAGTCCCCATAATAAGCTTGCATCAAATCCAGTGCAATTTCTCATGTGACCTGCAACCAGCGGTGTGGTTTGCAAAAAATCGTTTGGCTGACCTGTTCTATACTTTCCTCGTATGGAACAGTGGTAACATCGGTTGTTGGGAATATCTTCTAGGATAGCATATCGTCCACAAGATACTGGGATTTTCAAGAGAGTCTAAAGGAGTTTGGCTCCCAGCTCCCCTTCAGTAGGGACCTGGATAGCTTTGAAAATCCCCTTAAGCGCCTCTGAAAACCTTCCTGTCAGTGCACAATGCCGGGAGCCCAGCAGAGCACTCGAGACAAATCCAGCTCGGTCACCGGTAGCAAAGAGCACATGTTGACTTTAATAGAGTTGCACTTGCTTACACCAAGCCTGAGTTTGGCCCATTCGCTTTTCATACATCTCCAACCAGAGGAGAGGATTTTAAAAACACTGCTAATTGCACCTTCAGCTAAAGAATGAAGTTTGGATGTCCTGGATTAGTCTTTCAGAATGATTATTAATGATTCAATCATTGCACTTGAGTGGAGATCCACTTCTCTTAACAACCCCAACGCCTACATCAGGCCATGGAGAGCTGGGAGGAGACACAGGAAGCTGTTGTTAGGCACTAATGAAAGAGCGCAAAGTTGTATTTACAGGTACTAAATAGGGTGCAACTTTATTTACAGTGTAAAGTGCATCAGACAGAAGTCATTTAATACACACAACAAGCAGTGACATAAATGACAATACAGTATTTGCAAAAAGATTGTTCCTCTGAGACTATATTATTGTAAAGAGCAAAATATCATTAACTAGAACAGCCTTTGTGCCTTGCCAGCAGCTCTGCTAATGACATGGTTTTTCCAGACTGGTCTTTGAGTCCTGTCTAACTGTTCATCCATGTGAACGTCCAGTGCTAGAGGCAGGCCATGTGGCTCCTCTTAAGCAGTCTCCTAACAACACAAAGTGCCTCCATACACAACACTGTTCTACTCCAAAGAGAGCATCAGGGCGAGACAGAATCAGGGCATCACAAGGAGAGAAAGGGCACACACTATACAGACACAGTAGAAAAGATACGGTTTGGTTTTTGTAAAGAGACAAGAACAATATATATATAAATGTGTGTGTATATAAAAAGATAGCTCAGTTTTCTCCATCTACCCACTCCATCTCCTGTAGTTTCTGGGCGGTGTACTGCAAACAGGTCATATGGAACAAAAGGCCTCCAGTAACACTCTGGGTGGGACAGCTAAGGCCCTTTGTTTTCAGTTTTACGTGATTTTTACTGAAAGATTCTTGGGTTTTAAAAAAGCCATTTTTCAGTTTTTACTGATTTTCACCCAAATTTTGGACTCTCAAGAAACCCAATACATGACATTAGGTAGCTGTGTTTATGTTTATACTATGTTTGTCTAAGTGTAATGTTACGCTGCCTGTTAAAATAAGGTAATGTAGTGGAAGATACACTCGCGTGCAGATGTGTGCTTATTAAAGTACAGTTCATGAAATTAACCACAGCATTAAACTGCTTTTACTTTTCTCTATTTGTTGCTTGTTTTCTATCCCCCCATCCCTCCATATTTACCCACACAATTGTGAAGTTAATTTGTTGCACTGATGTTTATCAGTTTTTAAACGTTTGTAATAAACACTGCTAAATTCCCAGGACATTTTAAACAAAATAAAAACGGAAAACGAAGTTTCGGTGATAGCAAAGAGAAAGGCAAATGAAATGCGTATTGATAAATGGTGGTGATTCATTCCCAAAGACAGTATTTATTGAGAGCATGCGTGCAACTATTTGGTGCAAACCTCTCCAAGACCTAAGTTGCTATATGATTATTTCTTTGGGGGGAACTATAGTGTAGCACGTTATCATATTCTGATATTTTAGCAGTAATGATTAAATCAAAATTGTAAAGGAAACCCACTGTAGTAGAGTTGGATGCCACAGTATAGTTGCCCTGTACTATCTCCGCTTGATAGGAGGAGAAGCTCCTTAACTCTTCTAATTGCTTTTGTTCAATTATAGCATGCTATAATCTGAATGGCAATCTATCAATTGGTTGCTGTGGTTGCAGGTTGAAGGCTGGAATTTAATTTGCATTAGAACTGAGATAGGAAAAGAAGAATCCATTTTACAAAATTCCCTCCTTTTCTTCTCCAATCCACCTTTTTTTTTTAAATTGGCAGTTGCTACCATTACAGGATCCACTTGTCATTTTTCTCTGCCTCTATAGTTGGCACCACAACAATCAGATGTTTTCCTTTCACTGGTGCCCACAGCAGTTGCACGTACATAATTAACTCCTCTTTGTTTTTGACTACATTTCCCTGGACGCGTTCATAAGGGATACCTAACTATAAAAGGGACGGGTGGGGAACCAGAGTGTGCACACAGAGTGGTTTAAGAGTAAATAAAGCTCCATGAGATAAATTATTTCCTTCCTCTTCTTTCCTAATGTTGATACTAATTTTGCTTTATTACGTGAGCATTTTGAACCTAGCGAGCAGAGTGTTTGTAGAAAGGCGTGTCAGGTAAGGTTTCTAAGCCAAATTCTTGTACAGTAACTCCTTTCATACATCAGACGTTCACTCTCTAATGCTAATACCAAACACACTCCACTCCCCAAACATTCCTTTCACCCTCTGCTTTTACTTAGCAATAGGAGAGTATCAGTGTTTTGGATCCCTAGTGAGGGGCATTTTTAACAAGGGCACTCAGGTGCATGTTTCTTATGACGCTAATATGTTCAGCAATAGGGGTGTCTGCGCGACAGACTTTACGTATGACTTGGAATAGCTCACTCCTATGTGGATTGTGCACTTTATAGTTCTTAGTTGGCAAGGTGTATGTGTGTGTGTGTGTATGTGTATGTGTGTGAGAGAGACTATTTTTTTGGTTCACTGATGGTTCTGCACACTACAAATATCACCTGTCAATTTCACCTGTTTCCATGGATATGGCTACTGGAGTTGTCTGGCTATTTCATTTTGAGCTACACAACATTCTCCCACCTAGTCTAAACTTGTGACTATTTCACCAGTAAATCTATGGTAAACTTAACACAAACACCCTCTCATTAAAACATTTAAAAAGAAAATTAATTCCTTATGGCAAAAATTATATTGATTGATTCTCCTCTTTCACCAGCCTGACACTGGTATAACTCCATTGTAGCAGAGTGCCAGGAGGTTGAGATTGACTTAATTCTCATAGCTGTAAGTGAGATCAGGTTCAAAGTATCATGGAATGTTTCACAGCTCAGTTTAGCCTACAGTAACTACGGTCTACTGTCTAACTGCTGAATTACAGTAAGGCTTTGGCAACTAGTACCCAGAATTGCAACATCCTGTTTACTCTTGGTTGGCAGTAAAATGTATTTTAATTAACCAGTTGTATTCAAGGAATGGCAAGGACCAAAATGTACACAAGCTATTTCCTTGCTGGACAGCAGAATTTGTACATTTGTGTGTGTGTAGCAGCATATATTTGTTATATTTTTGTATATGAAAAATACAGATGGTTTCTTTAAAAATGGAAAAGTATAGGAAAAATATATCACAAAGCAAAAACATTTTCAAGGGGGGAAAAAAGCACTGGATTTGATTTACAATGCATTAGGTTTCAAGCCCCAGTGGCTATGCTGAAGAAATATTTTCTTAGTATAAAACAGTTCCTCTGCTGTTAAAAGGGATAGAATCCAGCCTTCCTTTTCCTGCATTAACAAACAAACAAAACAAGATTAGTGTTCTATAATATACAGAATGAATCAGCAGGGTGAGGCATATCAAAATGAAAGCAGAAGTGATTAGAGCCAGCAGGACCATCCGTGGACATTGTGGTGCCCTACGCAGTGCAGGGGACTTGCCCCAGGCCTGTGTGTGTGTGTGTGTGGGACTCCCCAGGTGTCTGTGGGGGGTGGGGAGGGCTGTGCCCAAGGTCTGTGGGGGGCAGGGCAGGAACAGGCTTGGGGGGAAACCACCCTCCAGCACGAGCTGGCAGAGCGGAGCAGGTTGGGGCCAGGTCGCTCCCCTTCCTGCCACCCGGTGATTGCAGGGTGGGTCTGACTCCGCACTCACGGGTGGCAGGAAGTGGAGTGACCCGGCCCCAGCTCGCTCCGCTCTACTCCCCTGGCTCCCAGGCTTGGGGAGCAGGGGGAGCAGGGGGAACCGCTCCCCAGCACTCACTAGTGGCCCGACTTCTGCTGCAGTCCCCTGGGCCATAGCTCAGGGGAAGGGGTGGAGTGGGGGTGGGGCGGGGGCTGAGCTGGCCGGGAGATCGGGCTGGCTGCTGGAGCAGCACGCAGCTGTGTAGGGCACCAGGAAATCTGGGGCAATTTGGTGCCCCAAATTTCCTGGTGCGCTACGCAGCTGCGTAGTTTGTGTATGGGTAAGGACGGCCTTGAGAGCCAGGTGGCTTCAGGGAGCATATAAAAGATTGACACCTGGCACCATATTGGAAACAATGAAGGAAATCTAGTCCTGGATCCTGATATAAACCTCCAGTCATTCAAATCTCCTCTTAAAAGTCATTTCTTCCAGCTAGCCAACCACTACTAGCCTTCTTTTCAGTGTTATCTACTCTGGCTTGTATGTGTCACTGTATCCTTTTAAAACTTAAACCAAGGTCCCGATCCTGCGGTGAGCTACAGATCCTTGAATCTGAATGGAGCTCACTGCAGGGCTGAGGCCAAAGTCTGAAGCTAACAAGATATGAAACAAACAAAACAAATCTCATTATTCTTGTTTTTGAATCTCCTTTGTCCAGGGTCATCAGTTGTGTTATGTCTAATTAAGCATCAACCCTTTAAGCTGTCTGCATGAAGAACCTCCACTGGAGTTGATGGAAGTTCCCTGTACTGAGGTCTGGACCCTTAGACTGTAAGCTCACTGGACCAGGGACCTGTCTTCTTCTGGGTATATAAAGTGCTGCACATATTTATAATCTTTGGTTAATAATAAAAACAGTTCAAACTGGTGACAGGAGAACCTCAAAAGGTTCGAAGTTCTGGTTCGGCTCAGATAAACTCCAAAAGGTTTGGTTGCTAAATCAAAGCTTATCAAACCTCTTGGAATCTGCAAAAATCAAGCTGGAAATCTTATGAGAACTGGCTTTGTCATGGGAGTTCTGGCTTTTCTGCTTCATGTCCTAGATGGGAATGTCACAGGAACAACCTCTCTTGAGGTTCTGAAAGACAGAACAAGAAGATGGTTCCAGTCCCAGAAAGCTTACAGTCTAAGTGAAATAGGCATTAGAGCCAGCCCCATAAAACAAGAGGAGAAAATCCAAACGGCGGCCTTTGCCAAATCCGGTGCAGTGAACAAACCATAGACTGTGAGTGGTGGTCTACAATCAGCTTAGGCTTGAATAGAGACTGGGAACGGCTGAGCCATTACAAACATTGAATCTATCTCCCCATGTAAGTATTCTCACACTTCTTATCAAACTGTCTGTACTGGGCTATCTTGATTATCACTTCAAAAGTTTTTTTTCCCCTCTTACTTACTTGGCCTCTCAGAGTTGGTAAGACAACTCCCACCTTTTCATGCTCTCTGTATGTGTATATATCTCTCCTCAATATATGTTCCATTCTATGCATCCGATGAAGTGGGCTGTAGCCCACGAAAGCTTATGCTCAAATAAATGTGTTAGTCTCTAAGGTACCACAAGTACTCCTGTTCTTTTTATAAATACCTTGCAGAGGTAGAGGGCATGCTGCTTACATGCCTCAACGGACCTGCACCAAAAGATTTTCATCTGTACAGAGGCTCCTTATTTAACTTTACCTTCCATTTAATTAGATCATTAGAGTCAGACACAAACCTGATGTGAAAGACTGTTTGCCAGCACTTACCTCGTGCAGTCATGTCCAGTCCATGATGAGGGGCAATGGCACCGATTTGGTCGTATACATTTCCCACCATTTAAGCAGGGAGACTGGCACACAGCTGCATTCAAATACACACATGTATACATATGTACTCCAGTAGGATTAGAATAGTTTTCATCTTGGAGGTTAAGTTTTGAAAATCCATTTAGCCCTGTATGTATCATTCTGTTAGTCACAGAATGAGCCCAGTAAACCCCACCCAGCCGTACTGAACCCAATAACCTGGTTTAGACAAAAGTACTACAGCTCTCATGAGACTAAACTCTTGTGTGCCACAGGCAGAGAACAGGAGGGACCAAGGTGTTCTCAAAACCATAATATTAAAAAAAAAAACCCGACCCTGAAAATGTGTTTGGATATGACCATTTGCTCTGGAAAGAATAAGCTCAGAAGTGGATCTTTGTTAAGTGTGAATCAACCCTCTTTGCTATTTTTGCTAGCTGCTGTGATATGCATAGCAGCAGGAAACATTCAATGGAATATTTTATGTTGACTTTAAAACATGCGTTACTGCTCCAAGCTCAGGCAAGCAAAGTGGAATGCAAATATAAGCAGTAGGAGGAGTTAACGTAGCACATCAGAGAGATCAATAGGAAAGAAGGCCTCATTTTCAGAGATGAAACATGGATGTTTGCTCGGAAGGAGAGACACAAACAATACCCAGAACTGCGTGCAGAAAAGCAGAAACTCAACATGGTCGCAAGGGGGGAAATATACCAGATGAAAAGGAGAACATGATGACAAAAGAGCCACTTAAAAACTAACTTCTGAGGAGGAGTAATTCTCGATAAAGTAACAGCTGAACATGGAAACAGAGGAGAAGCAGAGAATGACGACAGCTTCCTGACAGAAACTTCACAGCCATGAGAAGTGCGTAAGTGAACTACACTTCAAGTAGTGAAGAAACACCAAGCCCATTTGGTAGTGTCGGGACAGCATGAAGCAGCTGCAGTTACTCTGCTGTGTCAGCCAAATGGACATCAGGCAAACAGAGAGAAAAAGACAAAGCCCCAAGTCTTCCTGTCAACCCTGAGTCCATGAGACGAAGTGCGATATGATTACTAGGATAGACTAGAAGACAAATTTAATGAGCTTCATAATGGAAGATGTTATAGCACAGGACAGTTGAAAAATGTAAAATCGCTTAAGCAGATGATACAGTCTTGGTGAGGAAAAGCAAAACATAGTGAGTAAGACAGCCGCTGTTGACAATACTTAGGCACCGAGAATGCACCACTATCCAGAAACTGATTAAAAAATGGAGCCACAGAAGACAGAAAGGGGAGCGCTTGGCAAGAATCGGCAAAAGCAGCTGGTGTTACACTACCCCAATCCATTTAAAGGGAGGGATGGGGGGCGATACAGCACCAAAATTATGTCAGGTGGTTACAGAAACGGACCATTCTCTGCACATTAAATATAATGAATTACGTCACGCTGAAAACTACTTTAGATTCTTTAAAAAAAATCCATGTAACTGTATTTAATTCTCTCTTTATCCATAGCACAGGTCCAGTCAGGGCAGCAGTGGTACAAACCTCCCCACACCTGACCTCACATCACCAATGTGCCTCAAAAAACTCCAACCTTCACAGACTGACTGAAAAGTGAGAGGCGAGTTCGGTATCTCCATAACTAATCTAATGTTGGCCTTTCTGCTGAAAATGCCAATGAGGATGCCAGTTTTGATGATGGATTTTGTGATGGGCAGACCTGTCCACTAGAAATAACATATGGGTTGCGGAACAACCATTAGGTGATAATAATTCTGGGTTATTTCCAATCTGGCATGGTTTCAAATGGCTTAAGAGAAACGCTGTGTATCCTGTCTCCAATCTCCTAGGTCATCCAGACATAACAGCAATAATTCCTATGGTGCTTTGTAAAATATTAGAGGGAACGTTACTGCATACTGTGGTACACAAAACTCTTCAGAAAATATTACATTATTTTTACTCTTAGATTTGTTTAAAAATTTTTACTTTCGCATCTTGATTTTCAGAAGAATGCTTAGGCCTGCGGCATATCACATGGCATCTCCCTCAGATTTGCTGACCTGCTATATTTATTAATTAATGGCAAAACACTGACGCTGACTTACACCAGCGTAAATTAGAGTAATGCTCCTGAAGTCAGTCCAATTAACTGGTGTAAAGAGCTATATAGGGGCAGAATCAGGCCCTATACTCCGTTAAACTGTGCCACACTTAAGATTCCATTTAAAAACAGTTTATAAAGGGTAAATTCATGATTAATGCATCTTTTATTAAAGGGCTAGCTGAGTGTTATCAAGCCCAACAGGTTACTTATAACCATCTATAACACCTTTAGCTGATGGTATTATAAACATCTATAACACATTCTGCTTATGTCTGCAATGTGTTCATGACAGCTCTCATTTATTAAGCTTGGATAAATCATTTGTAAATAGAACCTTAATATAAAGTGTGATCAACGTGGCTATAGAAACAGGGCCTGATTCTTCTTTCACTTACACCATTGGGTAACTCCACTCAAGTCTGTAATTCTAATTTACACCAGTGGGAAGGGATCGTCAGACCCGCAATTCTTTAAAGTATTTCAAACGTAGCAGTGCAGCTCAGTGAGTCCAAGGCATAGATTTCCCCCCTCCCCCCGATCTATTTGGAGGTTTAAAAATAGGGCCACTACTCTGTCCTTTGGATTGTCTAAACTAGATACTATGGCTGGGATTCTGGCTAGCCCTGTATGGGCACAAGCGAGGAGAGAAGGTGCAGGCAATGCTTCCCTCCTCTTGCACACGCGCACAGGGCAGCCAGAATGGCAGCGCAGGGGAGAGTGAGCAAGACCTGAGCTGCTGCACTCTAGAAGCACTCCAGAAGGCCAAGCTGGGGATATGGCCTGGTCCCAATACCATCCAAGCACCTCATTAGTGGCACGAGCTGAGGGGAGCTCATGCTACAGCATTTTAAGGAGTTCAGTCGTAGAGGCTTGTGCATATCGCGCCTCTTGGAAGGACTCTGCCCTAAGCACCTAGCACACTGTTTGCATAATGCATAATAATTCTGTCTGCCTCTCTCCTCTGCCTTCCGAAGACAGAATGCCTCTGGCAACTGGTGTGCGGGTGCTGGACCTCTGCAGAGCACCGCTCACTAGCACAGCCAGAACACTGCTAAACATACCTTGACCTACATACAGAACATGTAGTTAACACGGCTTACACTGAGAGCTAGGGATGGATGCTCAAGTATTCCAAAGGAATAAACAAACAACGAGCAATAAGTATTGAAGGTCTGAGCTCTCTACTAATGTACTGTACACAAGGCACAAACTGCATCACTTGAGTTTAGACTGTCTAACATACTAAGATGTCCATCTCTTTCCCCCCTGCCTCTTCTCCATGCCGTCAGCAGTCACCCACAAGTGACTACTGAAAACTAAGTAACATGAGGGTCTTTCAAGGACAGGTTCAAATTCTGCTCATATTTATTTGTGCTAGGTACCATTTTCCTCACAAATTAACACTGGACAGTGGGATAGATCAAAGTGACAAACACAAATGCAAAGGTTGGTGTTCACACAAATCTCTCAGAGAAAAGAGATGTGGAACACCTGCAGTCCCACTGAAGTCAGCGTGAACTGCGGATGCTCAGCAACTCTTACGCTCCGGCAATAATTCAGACGCATGCTTTCTGCTCAGTCCTTGGTCGGGTGATATGGTAATATTCCTTTCCTTGGAAATGGGCAGTGGGAATCCTCTCTTCTATCTGCAGGTCCTTAACAGAAAGCTCCCTTGATAATGGGAGCAGGCTGCTTTGCAGACTAATCAAGAACAACATTATTCTGAAAATGGCCTGCAGCAGTGGAGATCAAACCCTCCAGGAATATTAAGTAATTTTTTTTTTCTGAGCCAGTCAGTGGTTACCACAGAGCCCTGTGAAATGCCTCTATATTGCCTTGCTTGGTGCTGATAACAACAAACGCTGGAAAAGGAAACATAGGTGAGTAAAAGTAGTTTTACCCGTATGACAGCGCGATCCAGTCCACCCAGCTGGGCAATCACATTGGTAGGGGGCCACACAGCGACCTCCGTTCAGACAAGGCAGGATGCATATTGCTAAGAAAAAATAAAGGGAGAGGAAGGACAAAGAAGAAAAACATTAGCACCAGGGAAGGAGAGAGGGAAGTTGAGAAGAGCCGAACAAAACCTTTTTTCCACCAAAAGCTCAGCTCATCAATTGTTTTCTACCCACTATCAGGAGTGTTGCGTGTGGTCTGTTTACAAGGAGAATAAAACTCATCCATAGGCAGCAAATCTGCATTTGGCCTAACAATGGGGAGTAAATAATTTCAGCTTCAAATACATCAGACCTATACTGGGCCTTTCTCATCCCGTCCCTGCTGCAGCTTGCATTTGTGCACTGGGCATGAGAGGCTGAACATAGAGTCAAAGAAATGTAGGACTGGAAGGGACCTCAGTAGGTCATCCCATCCAGTCCCCTGCGCTGAGGCAGGACTAAGTGTTATCTAGACCATCCCTGACAGGTGTTTGTCTAACCCAGGGGTGGGCAAACTTTTTGGCCCGAGGGCCACGTCTCGGTATGGAAATTGTATGGAGGGCCGGCTGGGGCAGGGGATTGGGGTGCATGGGGGGGTGAGGCTCCGGCTGGGGTTGCAGACTCTGGGATGGGGCTGGGGATGAGGGGTTTGGGGTGCAGGAGGGTGCTCCAGGTTGGGATCCTGGCCAATGGGAGCTGCAGAGCCGGCGCTTGTGGTGGGGGCAGCGTGCAGAGTCCCCTGGCTGCCCCTGCTTCCGGGAGCCGTGCGGAGACCCCGCTCCCCGGCTGGAGCACTGGAGCAGGGAAAGCTCCTAACCCGGCTCCCCGGCGGGAACTTGAGGGCTGGATTAAAAGGTCTGACGGGCCGGATGCAGCCCACAGGCTGTAGTTTGCCCACCCCTGGTCTAACCTGTTCTTAAAAACCTCCAGTGATGGGGATTCCACAGCCTCCCTAGGCCATTTATTCCAGGGCTTAACTGCCCTTACTGTTAGGAAGTTTTCCCTAATGCCTAGGGTGACCAGATCTCCTGATTTTATAGGGACAGTCCTGATTTTGGGGTCTTTTTCTCACATAGGCACCTATTACCCCCCACCTCCTGTCCCGATTTTTGACACTTGCTGTCTGGTCAGCCTACGTAATGCCTAAGCTAAATCTCCCTTGTTGTAATTTAAGCCCATCACTTCTTGTTCTGTCCTCAGTGGATAAGCTGAACAATTTATCATGCTTCTCTTTATGTACCTTTCACATACTCGGAGACTGTTATGTACAAGGAGAAGTGGGGAGAAAATGAGAGTGAAGGAGGAAGAGAAAAGGAGAAGGAAAAAACCGGAAGTAACAGTGGATAGATGAGAACAACAGATAGAGAGTGCTTTATGGAAAAACCTTTTGGCGATCAAGAGACACTGTATCTGCACCTAGATACCACAGTGATAAGAAATAGACGATCGATCTATCATTGATCATCTATCCATTATATTTTGATAGGTAGGTTGATAGAAAGATACTGTCTGATATTATATCTATATACATATATCTACCTCCATATGCAAGGGAAATTGTGGAAAATAATATGTACTTGTAACTACATACATATTAATAAAATATCCACAATACAAACTCCAAACCATAAAACAACAAAGTAACCTGAAACCGCCCATTTGGTTCAAGGGGAGTATGCTCTGAGAGCTGTCTGTGTGGTTTAAATCTCAGTTTGCTTGCTAATATCACAAGAGCAATATGAATGTTAGCAGAAGCAATTCAGGATGATGACTTTTAGGCAAAACCTGTTTAAAATGTTTGTTGCGGTTGTCCAAATAAGACACAGCAGCGAGATGTATTTTGATGACAAATAGTCTGAATCCTTGGAGTGTGCATTAAAAACCGGACTGGATTCCCTGCACCACTACTGTAAGCAAGTCTGCCGCTGTTGTGCTAACTTTTCACTCACACCACCAAGCACTTACTCACATGAGTAATCCCATTACAATCCTCACGCGAGTGCTCACCAAGAGGGATAAAGACCATAATCAGGCCCCAAAATAAAGTCCTGCTCTGCAGACCCCGTGAGTAGGAGAGCTCTGCAAAATGTCCCTGACAATGGGAATTTCTGTGTCCTAACTGGGTGAAGATTGGAACTCAGCAAACGCTGGTCAGAGATTTTATGAAAAGAAAGATTTAAGGCACATTTTAAGAGGTTCACAGGCGATGCATGTTTATGGGCACTGGAGGGGAAAGCTGATGGCAGAAGGACACGAGGCAGCAAAAGATCTTGGATGGACGATGGGGATTAAAAGGACTAGTGATCCACAAAGAGATTAGCAGAAGATTGTGGAGAATGGACTACCATGCTTGCAAACCTTCACTAATGGAGATGCCACAAGAGAAGAAGAACTGGGTGAAACCCAGTGGGCTTGGCTGCTGTAAAGGCTTCTCAGTTGGTTCAGACGACAACCCCAGTGAAACTCTGTGGTGGGCACTTCATCAGAACACATTGAAATGAATAGGTCAAATTCAGTTATTCTTCAGCTTCGGTGGCATTCTCAACTGGGTTTCTTTCATCCCTGAAGAGGGAGCCACGTGCCCTATCTGGGGACTGAGAAGTCTGATCCCATGTCCTTTACGGCACAGCAGAGGCAAAGCCAAAAATAGGCACGAGAAGGAATGGGACTTCCATGCTGCCATTGGATTACTCTTTTGTTTATACTGTTAAATTAGGGTCCCTCCACATTTCTCAGGGCAGCAGAGCTAGTCTCAGGAGGCAGAGCCAGTCACGCTATAAGCTTCCCCACCCCCCCAGCCCCGCCCCTTGAGTCAAATGCACCATGAAATATTAGGTGACTGAATCCTGTCAGAGTTTTGTAACCTCAGCTGAAGCCTGACTGTGAGAGGTTGCTCAACACTGGCATCTGCTGCTGAAGTGGAGGGGAGGTGCAGGTACTCAGCACCAATCAAGATTAGGTCCTTATGTATTAATGATTGACTCTCTTTATATGGGAAACAATGCCACAAAATGAAGTAGGATGGTTTAAAACCCATTGTATGTGACTCTCCATTCAGTTACCGTTTTTGCATAAACAAGAGAGAGAGCGCATGTATGTGTGGGAACTCTAATGTAACTAGTCAGCTGTCCGTTCCGTTGTGTATACAGGGAGACTGGCTATGAATTGGGATGGCAGATCAAAATGACCAGGAGCCTCACATTAGTCTTCCAAAGCTGAGGACAAGGCTAAGCGTTGTTGTTACCAGGAAGGTAAGGAAATCAGTTATGACGTTTCATCGATGTTGCAAGGTGCTGGGCACGCTCACCTCACCCTGAACCTCTGGAGTAGGGGAAGTGTGTGTGTGAAGGAAGGGGGACAGAGATTGCAAAAGAGAGACTATGTAAAGGCACTATTCAGCTGGAGTTTGTAACACCGAAGGCCAAACCATTTGTTTGCCAAATTTCTTCTCCTCACTTTCATGGAGCCAATTCGGTGTGGCACAGCCCAGGCCCAGACTTAGCAGCAGCAGCTGCAGGAAGTAAGTGGATTTAATAGATTGTTTTTAAACATGATGTACTGGCCACGACAAACAATATTAATACTTTAATCAAATTCAGCTTTGTTAACTGTAAAGGGATCTGCCATTCTTTTCCATGGGTCTCTACTTACATGCAACACTCCTAAGTACAGTGACAATAATAACTAGAGATGGTCCCAAGCAGCATGACTCAGATTGGGATTTCAAAACCCTGATGTCTGAGGACATTTTTCCTGGTTCAGGTTCATCTCTGAGTACTAACTATAGAAGGAAATATTTGCCTATCTATCCAGATATCTCTATATTCATGGGCTCCAGAAGTGCAGTATTACCCACATTAATGTGTTTATCCTCACAACACCCCTGTGAGGTCGAGCCGTGCTATTATCCCCATTTTACAGATGGGGTACTGAGGCACAGAGAGACTAAGGCCCAGATTCACAAAGGTATTAGGCTTCCAACTTCTACTGATTTTAATGGAAGTTAGGAGCCTAAATACTTTTGTGGATGTGGGCCTAAACGACTTTCCCTAGGTCACACAGGGCGTGTGTGGCAGATCCCAGATTCGAACCCAGCCCCAGTCCAGCCCCTTACTCACAAAATGATCCTTTGTACCTAGAGGGGAAATCCAGCACCAGCTCCCATAGGCACAGGGCTTGGCAGGCTGCAGAAAGTCAGGAGGGGCTGTGGGTGGCGAAGGTGCCAGAGGGACATCATTGTATTACCTGACCACTAACATCTAGCTATGCAAACTACTCGATACGTTTTGTAATTATATTAGTAAATAAAGATGTGCGCACAACCCATAGCATAAATCTCAGTCTTTTACTGCTGTAACTCTAGCTCTTCCCACAACACACCCACTACTCCTGGGGTTTACTGCTATCCCATACTGAGTCATGTTGAAATGAGCCTGTAAACCTCCTGGGGCAGTGGCCTGTCTCTTTTATGTGTCTGTATAGCACCATGCACTCTCTATGACCCTGTATAAATAATAATTATGGGCAATGTCCTAAAATCCCTATGTAGCTTTTATTCAATATTGTATTTGGGCAAAACTCTCATAGAGTCGCTAGGAATTATGCCTCATTGAGGGCTGAGTAACACAGGCACCAAATCCGTTGGTGCTCTGGGGCTGGAGCACCCACAGGGAAAAAATGGTGGGTGCTGAGCCTCTCCCGCCTGCCGGTGGCCCTGCCGATCAGCGCCTCTCCCTCCCTCCCTGTGCCTCCCGCGATCAGCTGTTTTGTGGCATGCAAGAGGCTCTGGGGGAGGCGAAATGGGGTGGGAAGAGGTGGGGCAAGGTGGGGTGGGGATGGGGGAATGGGTGAGTGGGGGGTGGAGTGGGGGGCAGGGCCTGGGACAGAGCCGGGGTTCGGATTGGAAAGTCAGCGCCTGTGCTGAGTAATGTGGCCTTGTAAGAGTCTCCATGGCCATTCGATACTTAGTCTCTCTGCTGAGACTGCCGACAAACATGACAATTAATGGTGCGGTTCCCGGTTACATCTAATCACAAACAGGGATTTCAGCTATTTCCAACCAATACTAGAACCAAACCAGAGTTCAAGAGGTGAAAGCCTGTTCAGATGCCCCAAGCTGTTTAGTCTCCAGCATGATGTGCAATTAAATTCCTAGGAACCGAAAAGTGTTTTTCTTAAAACAGGTCCAACTTTTAAGTCCTAAGCCAAACTTTTCCTCACAGGATGTGGACAAAACTGAGTGCATTACAGATTTTTAACTACTTCACCTCTGCCAGGCACAGCTTCTATGACTGACTGACTAAGGGAGACACTTGTCCATCTTTCTGACAGAAGGGAATGTGCCACACTGCACTTGCTAGGTAAGGGAGAGATTGGGGAATAACAACATTTGTGAGAATGAAGGCATGGAAAATCCCATTTGTTTGCTAGCCTAGGCAGTGTGGCCAGGATATCCTGTTCAAGAGGAGTTGAACAAAGAGAGGAGACGTGATTGACTTCTTTCTTTCAACCAGTGCCAGCTTTCCATTGCCTACCACAGACATAAATAAAGGAGGCATAGCTCCACTGCCTTGTGTAGTCATTTACACCTAATTAAAATCAGAGCAAACTGGGTTTTTGCTGCAACCAAATCAGAATGGCAGAATTTTAAACCTATTTTTCACAGGTGTATATGACTACACCAGCTGCAAGATACTGAAGAATTAGGTCCAAAATTTCCTCCAATGACAAGATGAACTTTCATGACTTAGGGGCTGATCTGGACAGGTGCTGGGCCCTCACAACTTCAAAGAAGTCAGTTAGAGTTGTGGTTGCTAAGTAACTGTCAGTATATTAGGGCTTGTTTGCATGCAGACTTGCGCTGGTTTAATGTCAGGAGTGATTTTAAACCAATGTAGTTAAACTGGTGCAAAAGGTTATGTGGACATACTTATTTTGGTTTGGACCAGGCATATTTCCTTTTACTAGGAAGGTTTAAATTAAACTGAAATAAGACCTTCTGGAACCAGAACCAGAGACTGTGCACATAGGGCTTTACATTGGTTCAACTAAACCAGTGCACATTTGTGTGTAGATCTGTCCTCCGGATCTACATTAGCACTATGCTGTTTTCTGTTTGGAACACTTTTATTCCACACGACCTAGCAAGATCATTTGGCTATTAGGAAGCACTATTTCACAGTGGTGAAGCATTGGAATGGGTTACCTAGGGAGATGGTGGAATCTCCATTCTTAGAGGTTTTTAAGACCCAGCTTGACAAAGCCCTGGCTGGGATGATTTAGTTGGTGTTGGTCCTGCTTTGAGCAGGGGGTTGGACTAGATGACCTCCTGAGGTCTCTTCCAACCCTAATCTTCTATTATTCTATGTCCTCTGTTGCAGTCCATATCTAATTTGCTAAACAGAATAGGTTATGGCCTTTGCCATTTTGAAACTTTAAGTCAATAATTGTCCCATCACATCCATTGTGACATCCTGTAAATCCACATCTCTTATCTACTGCATATCTTCAAGCTACATTGTGAGATGATGTACATACGCTCTTCGCAGAGACGGCCCATCCAGCCTTCTGGACAGGAGCATGCGTTTGGTCGCTCACAGACTCCGCCGTTCTGACACGGGAATCGACAAATGGCTGGAAAATAATAACACAATCCAGTCAAGACATGGGTCAGTTAATATTCAGAAAGTGTTCTGCCCAGAGCTCTGCATCTTACCCAGTCCTTGTTATTAAGACAAATGAATTCAGCAAAACTCAAAGACAAGCTTTGCCTTGATTGCAGAGTATGTAGTGTGCTTGTGTGTGTTTAATACTGCCCTCTAATGGATGACTTGCTCATTAATTAATGTAAATTATTATATTTATACTGAGGTGTTCAACCAACCAGCCTTGCAAAATTTTACTTGCTCAATTGTTTGAGTCAAATATGATTTTTGAAAGGAGAATAAAATATTTTTTTCTACTGTCATTATCATGGTAAGAACGGGCAAGTAATTTTTTTGCCGAAGGTGGTAATTTTTTTGACAATTTTGCAAGATGTCTCTCACCTGAATTTTCCTTCTTGTTTCATAAAACAAAAACCAAATACTGTAGTTCCCCATCCCCTCACTCCTGTAAAAAAAATTAAGTCCAAGACATGGGGAAAGATAAAATCAAGTTTCCTTTCCTCAGTCTTGGCATAAAAACAAGGCAAAGCTGTCAGGTATAATCTACCTTCTGTCATTAAAATAAGAGAAAACAGAATAGCAGCATCAATGATTTATTGCATTAACACCACAAAAGACTGAAGAGTACTTTGTGATAATCTGTGGTAACACTGTACCATGTATCTGTTTATTTACAAACACTGCGGTTTGCAAAACTGTGTAACAAAGTAAATATAAGTCACTTAGACTGTAAGTTCTCCAGGGCAGAGACTGTTTTTATCATGTGTGTGAACAGTGCCTACCATAGTGGGGCCCCAATCTTAGATCAAGGCCTCTGGGTATTACTACAATACAAATAAAGAATCACAAGACATTTTAATTAGTGGCAATTATAAACACACAATGAATTGTAAATGTCTCTCTTATTTAACAGTTATTAGGGCAAGTGAAATGTAGGTTTAGGGTTGAGAGAGCCCCAGATCTGGTTCATTAGTAGTCTAAATATGATGAACCATTAAAATACTTATAAATTGCATGTTTGAACCAATCCAAAACTACCACTGAAATAGCCAAGTTTAACTAGGTTTTGCTGCAAGTTTCACAGTTTCAATGTGAAACCATAGCTTGGATTCACAGGTGCTGGAACTAGGGGTGCTGCTGCATCTCCTGGCTTGAAGTGGTTTCCATTTTATGCAGGGTTTACAGTTTGGTTCAATGGCTCTCAGCACCCCCACTACACAAATTGTTCCAGCCCCCCGTTTGGATTCCCCTGAAACTGGGCCGAAGGTTGTAAAGCTTTTGTGTCAAAGCCTGAACTGCCTGTTGCGTTTCTGAAGAAACCTGAATCAGAGTTTTGCAAAGTCTGGGATCTCGTAATAAAAAGTTTCACACAGCTGTAGTTCTAAGAAAGTTAACAACACCACAGTGATTCACCACTATGTGTATATTATTGTGAAATAATAGGCAACCTCGTTTTTCTGAATACTAGTTAAGTTATAGTACTATTACGAGGAAGCTTAAACAAAAGCCATTTAAAAGCTGGGGCAAACATTTTTAAGGATTGTATCTTAAGTGTAAAGCTTCGAAACTGCCTGTGATCCACACTTCGCCTGAGTGATGTCCCAGGTGTATATCGTATGAGTAGGTAAATAAAATAGGCTGACATAAACAAGGCTGGCTTTATGCTACCAGGAGTCCCAAACTACCAGTAAGAGTTGGCTGTGAGATGTGTCCCCACTCTGCCACTGGAAAAGGAGATAAAGTTGGTCTGTGAAATACAGAGCTTGTTTGGTATGCATTGCCCCAGGTAAGCTCTGCAATTCAGAGGGTTGCTTTTCTTGTTCCTGTGGCCAGCCCTGGTTTTGAAATTCTATATGAAGAATAAGACAGTATTATTCCGATGTGCACTTGTTATATATAGCTCCAGGGAATGAGAGACCGTGTGCCTATGGCCGTGGAGATCATTGAATAGTAGAGCAGGCAAGAGAAGAGAAAGGCAGTCTTGAGCTTCAGAGATGGGACTGGATGTTAGAAGACCTAACGTCCTCTCCTCTCACACTAGTGTAAATGAGGATTAACTCCATTGAAGTCAAAGGAGTTATACTGGTGTAAAGCTAATGTAAATAAGAGGAGAACTGGACTTCTGGCTTCTCTTCTCAGCTCTGCCACAGACTTTCCATGTGACCTTGAGCAAGCCACTTACCCTCTGTATGCCTCAGATTTGACACCACGTAGTGTTTTTGTTAGCTGGCTGGGAACAAGCTGTTTGGCAGTAGCTCTGCACCCTGGGATGAGCCCAGTCCAAAAGTCTTGTGCAGAGGGGGCCAAATTCACTGCACAGCTTTTAAAAAAGAAACACAACGTTTCTCCATGCTACAACTACGTATCCAGTCAGTGAAGCAGAATTAGTAAAATGATCTGTAACAATGCTATCTGGTGACTCCCAGTAATGTTATGATCTGTGAAACTGGGATAATGCATTGCAAAACCTGAGTTTTAGAAAGTGCACTGAAATCCTCTGATACAATAAGTATTACTACTATTGCTAGGGCTACCATTTTGTCACAGAAGTCACGGAATCTGTGACTACCAGAGACCTCTGTGACTTGAGCCCACCTGTGGTGGCTGAAAACTGCGGGGCCCCGAGCTACCAGCCACTACAGGCAGGGGAGGGAGTGCCCTGGGTGCCCCGGGAGCTCAGAGCCGCTGCAGGCAGCCATGGGCAGCAGGGTGTCCAGGAGCTCAGAGCTGCCACAGACAGTTGGGCGGGGCACCCGGGAGCTTGGAGCCGACACAGGCGGCTGGGGTGCCCGGGAGCTGCCGCGGGCGCCTGGGGTGTCCCACAACTCCAAGCCTGGCCCCCAGGGGTGGTGTGGGGACCCCCACAGCTCCCCATTTTGTCATGCATATTTTTAGCAAAAGTCATGGATAGGTCACGGGCTTCCGTGAATTTTTCTTTGTTGCCCGTGCCCTGTCCGTGAATTTTACTAAAAGTATGTGTGACAAAACCTTAGCCTTAACTATTGCTAATCAAAAGTGATATGTAAGTGCAAAATTTTATTAGGCTACAGAAAGTAAGAGATACTACAGTGACGAGCACGGTACAAGACCCAGAATAGAATGGAACAGACTACAACTATAGCTCTCAACTACCTTTTTGAAAGAAGTCCCTTGCTTTAGAGCCAAAGGAAGCTCTAAACCACACATTTTTGGTGTTCTCATTTTTTTTCTTGCAAATTAGTTACATGGGAAATGCTGGAGAGAAAAACAAAAGATACATATCACTGTTTTTTGCTCAGGAAATTCAGCCTATGTCCTTTAAAACGACGTGCAGTGCCCTACGGTTCTTCGTTTGGCTCTCAGACTGGCTCTTTGTCCTACGTTTGGTGGTGGGCAGATCGTGAGCTCCATGGATACTGTCGCTGGTTTCCCAACTGGGAGCTTGAATATGATCTCACTCGAATTAGCTTATGCTGGTGTAACTCCACTGAGTTCAGTGGAGTTACTCCAGATCTACACCAATGTCACGGAGATCAGAATCAGTGTGATCTTTAACTAGATACAGTTCAGACAAGCGCAGCTGTGCTCTCCCAATTACTACACAGTCTGTATTTTTTAATTATAATATTCACATTAATTACTTTGTTTAGTTGGGTTAGACATTTCTTGCAGGCTTGGGACATTAATAACTAACCACTGGTGTCAAAAGCTACGTGATTCATTATGCTGGTTGTTTTCATGTTGCTTCTGATGTAGATCACAAAGCCTTAGATACTGTGTAGGCCTTTTGTTAGGAAAATATTCAGCCTTGTTTATAAAGCAGTTCTAAAAGATCACTTTCACATATATCAAGGAAACATAAGCCTTTTCTCTCATGAATATCTTTGGTCCTTTTTATTCTTGTTTTAGGGGAAGGAGGCGGGAAATTATTAACATACTGCATTAATATCTAGAGTTGCCAGGTCTGGGATAGCGCTTTGTGTGTTAGTATATTAACCCCTTCATCTCCAAGGCCACCTCAAGCCACTGGTATTTGGAGAAGGGAGGGAAGGAAAGCTAAGAGGCTGGGGATTGCTAAACAGTGAGCAATAGAGATCCATGTTCTTCTGGAGCAGGACTTCTAGGCTTTAATTTTTTTAAATGTCGGAATGTATATGGTTTACATTATATTAGAACCATTAACATTTATAAATATAAGGCAAAAAGAAAGCAGAATCATGGAACTAACAAACTGCGTGTCTGCCGGAATTGTTTAATAGCTGTTTTTGTTATATTACATCCCTTTCCTCATCCTTTGGCTTTCATGAGACCGAGGCCGTGTCTACGCCACACAGCCATGGTGGTGGAGCTGTGCCACTGTAGAACAGTAGGGTAGATGCTTTGTACATCCACGGAAGGGGTTTTTCCGTTGTTGTAGTTGGTTCACCTCGCCGAGAGGCTGTAGCTAGGTCAACAGAAGACCTAGCTGCATCTACAGCAGGGATTAGGTTGACCTAACTACATCGCACAGGGTGTGAAATTTTTCACATCCCCGAGTGATGACATAGCTAGATGGATTTAATTTTTCCGGGTAGACGAGGTCTCTGGCTCCTCAGGCCAATGCCACTTTTGAAAATGCACTGTAGACTTCTAAGGCGCTGAGGCCTTTTTGAAAATTTTACCCATAGTGCTTATGACTATGAATAGACCCAGCAACTTCAGTGAGACTAATTATGGTAGTAAGTGCCATGAGACTCATCCAAAGCCTATTCAAGCCAATGCAAAGTGTCCTGCTGACTCGCAGGGGCCTCTGGATCAGGCTGCACATTTGGTAGTAGAATGCAGAATCAGGCCCTCGGGCTGTAAGCTCTTTTGTGGTAAGGAGCTGCCTTATCCGACATCTCTAAAGCCTTAACACACTTCAGGGCTGTGTTTAAATAGCAAATGTTAAAGAGGAATGAAGACTAACAACAACTTGCAGCGTTACACTATAATCGGGCTAGAACCCAAAGCTTTTATGACAGATCAGCAGTCAAATGTTAACACCACAAACTTACCCAAAACATCTTTGCTAGTCGATGTCTAACTAATTCCAGAAACCTCACACAGAGATCACTTCTACATCCTCACGTCCACAATGAGTGTTAAAGTGAGAGTGGGAAAAATTCTCAAAAAAATTGAGAGTCTGTCTTTTAATAGGACTTGGGCTCCTAAGTCACGTAAAGCACCTTGGAAAAGTCACCCATCATCTTCACTTTGCTGCTGGGCCCTCCACTCTAGCAACTGTGATGGTGCTCCATTGCTATCACAAGGCAGCATTGTGATATACATGGAAGCCCAGGAGTGGCTTTTTAAATCTGTGAAGTGCTAAGAAGTCACAAACCTTTTAGATTTGGACCTTGTCAAAGTGCTCTATCTAGGGTGACCATGGGAAACCATTATTGGAGAGCAGGGCAACATGACTTTTCAAGGGCCTTTACTCATAAGATTCACCATCATTGACAATAGTTTTTGTATTATATTAGTGACTAGAAGTCACAGCAGAAGTTGAGGCCCCATTGCGTTAGGCATTGTACAGAATCCCTGCCCCAAAGTGCTTGCAGTCGAAACAGAAAAGGGTGGGGAGGAAGATTTTACAGATGGGGAATTGAGTTACGTAAGGTCTCATAGGAAGAGCTGGAACTGAAGTCACGTCTCTGGTGTCCCAAACCAGTACATTAGCAACAAAACCATTCTTCCCTCTGATGCAAGAGCGCTTGTGTAACCCACACACCTTCTGGGTGTGGTGTTCTGTCCCATCTAGTGGCAGTGAAACCACTTATAAGAGAGAGAGATAAAATGAATCTGCTCTACAGCCAAAGCTAACAGCCAGTTGGCTTTTAGCTCATGCAGTAGAGGCTCATGCACTAAGCTCCAGAGGTTCAATCCTGCTCCCCGATGATCAGGGTCTGTTGGCATAGGCGGCGAGTTCCATATCCACGTGGTGCTCGGGCACCAGCAATATTCAGAGCCAGGAGCCCAGCTCCAGCAATACTTGGGGCCGAGTGTCCCCCTCCGCCCCCCCCGGCCCCCCCCCCAGCCCCCCCCCCCCCCCCCCCCGGGGCCCCCCGGCCCCGCCTTGCGCCCCCCCCCCCCCCCCCCCCTCGCCTTTCACAGGCCCCCTGGAGCAGTGTCCCTGTCTCTTCCGTGTGCTGCCTCCGGGCAGCAACTGCTGCCGCAGGGTCCTAGTGCCCCCCATCACCACTGCCAGGGCAGACTGACTCTGAGACTGCCCTTCCCCCTCAGACCCTTCCCTTTTCCAATGTGACCCTCCAGCAGTACAGGGGGCCCCCCCGCCCGCAGTCACCGCGCCTGCCCCATGCTGGGCAAGGAGGCAGCCCCATCCCTCACCCCCAGTGAGGCTACAGTCAGGGGCAACAGCAGGGGAGGAGGCGCACGCAGCGCCCCCCGGCACCCACCACGGGGAAGGCGAGGGAGATTCCTGGACCTGAGAGGGGCCCTAGGAGCACATGCAGTGACGGGGGGGGGGGTGCAGGAAAGGGGGGCTCCTCCCCCAGAGCTTGCTGCTGCCGGCAGGGAAAGGGCTGGGGGGAGTCCCCCTCTCTGGTCCCTGTCCCGGAGCAGCCTGCCTGCACCGCAAACTCATCCCCAGCCCTGCCCCAACCCAGAGCCCACACCCCCAGTCAGAGCTTTCACCCCCCCACCGCACCCTCAACCCTCTGCCCAAGCCCTGAGCCCCTCCAGCACCCCAAACACCTTATCCCCAGTCCCAGCCAGAGCCCTCATCCCCCCCGCACCCTGACCCTCTGCCCAAGCCCTGAGCCCCTCCCACACCCCAAACACCTCATCCCCAGTCCCAGCCAAAGCCCTCACCCCCCACACTCCTACTCTTGCCCTGAGCCCCTCCCACTCCCCAAACCCCCCATTGCCAGCCTCAGACAGAGCCCTCACCCCCTACACCTCTACTCTTGCCCTGAGCCCCTCCCACACTCCTAACCCCTCATCTGCAGCCACACCCCACAGCCCTCACCCCTGCACCCCATCCCTCTGCACCCCTCCCATCCCCAAACTCCCTCCCAGAGCCTTGGGCAGGTGGGAGGCGGAGTTTGGGGGGACGAAGTTTGGGCAGGTTCTGGGCACCACCAAAATTTCTACAAACATGCCACCCCTGTCTGTTGGCGTTACAAGTGGGGGCTTGTCTGGGATTTCAACTGGGAAGTCTCCAAAGCTCAGGACGCACTTCCTCAGCTAAGGGAAGTATGTAACTCCTATAGCTCAGTGGTTTGAGCATTGGCCTGGCTAAACCCAGGGTTGTGAGTTCAATCCTTGAGGGGGCCATTTAGGGATCTGGGGCAAAAATCTGTCAGGGACAGTACTTGGTCCTGCTGTGAAGGCAGAGGACTGGACTCAATGACCTTTCAAGGTCCCTTCCAGTCCTATTCTTCTATGATTCTATACCGCTACGTCATAGTGTAGTAGTTTATCAGCGGCGGCAGCAAGCCGCGAGGGGCGCCCTGCCGGTCCCTGCAAGGGCGGCAGTCAGGTAGCCTTCGGCAGCGTGCCTGCAGGAGGTCCACGGATTCGGCGGCAATTCGGCAGCGGGTACGTGGACCTCCCGCAGGCATGCCGCCGAAGGCAGCCTGCCTGCTGTGCTTGGGGTGGTAAAAAAGCTAAAGCTGCCCCTGTAGTTTATATATACTTAGTGCTAGACATAAATACATACCCACACAAGCACAGTGATTGCCAATAAAGTATCAACATTTGCTAATAGCCACAATGCAGTTATTTCCTATTCTAAATAAAGGGAAGAACCGTGCCATCTCACGTACCACTTTGTAATAATTTCTGGTAAAAGCCAGCTTTTTAATGGTGACATACTTCTTAATGTATGTATGCTTTTATTGTATACACATATATATCTAACACACACACACACACACACACACAGTTACTGACAAGAATTCCCACTGATAGCTCTGTGACACTGAATGGACTGTCCGGTCTTTATCTTCAAGATCACTTCTCCACCATTTAGGGACAGGTTTAAAAATAGAGAGGGAGCAAGAAACAGACACACACAGACTCTAGGTCTACATGCAAAATATGTGAGTTTGTGCACCCATGTATGTACGATTAATCACTGCAACTGTTGTGCAAACGGGTGCATAGGTGTTTAAATACTAACTTTCATATGTGCTACAATTAGGGTATATTTGCATGCAAATGCAGCTATGCAAATACATGCCCATTTGTCAATCAAATCTTCTAGTCCTTACAGTTCTGTACTTAAACTGGCCAACACAGATGCTGTGATGCTTCCTCCGTGCTCAGTGTGCATTATTTCAGTACAGCTGTATCAGTTTATCTCTGCACATCTTACTGCAGACAGTTGTTTTCAGCAACACGCAGAAGCTAAACAACAATGATGGAATAAGCACCAGTTGTATCAGCCACCTTCCTTTCCTGCAGTGCTCTGCCTTAACAGTAAAAAGCTAAATTTCTTTAAGTATCCGAATGTAACAGGCTGGTAGTATTTGTTTAGCACGTGTTGTTCCGCCTGGGAAAGGATTAAGTGTATTCTGTAGATGCATAGCGGTAGGAAACTTGTTCCCCCTGCTGATTATAACTGATGTGTGAATGACTCTCTGGAGAGAGGGGATCTAGGGCAGGAGTTCTCACAACACATTTTTTGGTGGTCTCAGAGTGCGGCTACCAACTCTTGCTGGTGGCCGCGCTGACAATTTTTCCTAAAATACGTAATTAATTTTAGGAAAAACAAATAAATATGCACATATACATGTCCAAATCATTGTAATTTATCTATGTAGGATTTTTTCAGACTCAGTAATAAAAATAGTGTACAGTGGTCTCTATTCTTTAGTGGAACTAAACAGAACAGAAACATAAATAAGGTACTTTGCATGTTCTTGTCTTTTTGTTGTTGTTTCTTTTGCTTTTTTTGGTTGCTTTTTTAAAAACAAACTTGCTAGCTAGTAAGTCTGCTTCTGTGAAAAGTGATATTTGTATGTTTGTTAATATCACTTTTCACAACAGACTTACTTACTCAGCCCTGGCAAGCCCTGGGACAAATTAAGCCCTGGATGGGGAGGGAGGCAGTGGGGCCCAGAGAGGATGGTGGGGGTGATGAGCCTGGGGCCAGAGCCTGCTACCGCGGGGATGGAATCTGAAGCCACCAAAGCCTGCTGCTCCAGCCCCCGAGAAAGTGTGGAATTCACCAGCTGCCTACACCTCCAGCATTTGTATCTCCGGAGGGGCCACTGCTTCCCCCCCCAATCACAGCCCAGGAGGCTGTGGCCGCAAGAAAAGCCCCTGGTGGCCACATCTGAGAAACGCTGATCTGGGGTATGAGATATGCAGTCCTTGAAAGAGGAACCCCAGAAGCAGCCAAGGTTAGGGAGAAGGTTTAAGTTAGTCTATTTATTTGTTTGTTTGGGTGTTTGTTTATTTTAAAGCAGAAAGGGCGTGAGTTTGTACTTTACGCGCAACGGGTTAAATTGTGGCTACAGTGAAGTCGTATGGGAATTTCTCCTTGTGTGTTTGTACAGCAGGTTAGGAAAAGCACCAGCACACAGTTAAAAAAAAGACTCTTACCTTTGCAGGCAGGCGGTTTTGTCCAGGTTCCATTTTCTAAACACACAGTTCTCAGGGACCCCTCCAGCATGAACCCGCTGTAGCACGAGTAGGTGATCATGTCTCCATACTGATAAAAGGTACCACGGGCCAAGGCGTTTTCAATGTGAGCAGGGGGCCCACAAGAAATCTCTAAAGAAAAATACGAAGAAGCCACAATGGGCTGACGAGCTGCAGCATCTGGGAACTCGTTGACAATACGGTACATAATGTCCCTGTCTGGTTAGGGTGCGAGCCTGCAGGATGCTGAGCGCTGCCAAGAGGAGTGTGGGGAGGAAAGCTCTGCAGAGAGAGGCTTCTGCGTGGTGCAGAGAAATGCACACGGTGTCTAGCAATGAAAAGAGACCTCTGCACTAGCACCAAACTTAGCCCTGGTGAGAAGGGGGAAACTGGGCATGGTGGGGAACAGAGAAAGGGTGCGACCAGGAGATAGGGCTTCATTGTAGCAGACACAACATTGTGCAGAGCAAATCAAACAGCGAATGTGTATAATGTGCCCGGCAGCCATTTTGAAGACATTCCCCCCACTCCCCTCCAACTGCCAGCCAGGGGCAATGGCTTACGTACTGGTGCTTAAAAGTTGTAAGTAGAAGAGAGTGACATTAGGCCTTCTTGTTAGGGCTGCCCACCAACAGAGAAATATGCCGGAGGGGTATACGATCACGGGGCATCTCCCAGCCAGCTTCTCACAACGTCTGCCGTGAATTCAGTTTGTACACTTACTTTCACATTTAGCTCTCGCTGGTGTCCAAGTCTCGTCAGGGTTACAGGTCATTGCAGCGTGCCCTTTAAGTTCATAGCCCTCCCTGCACTTGATCGATACTTTCTGGCCGACATAAAATTCTGTCTCAGACAGGCGAGCATTCTCTGGGATTATGAAAGGCACAGGACAAGGATTTGCTGTTCAAGTGTGGGGGGGAAGGGAGAAAAAATATTTGTAAAGCATGTCTGCAAACTCTCTCCCTCTTTTCATCATCAAATTGCAAAACCAGCAGAATGAATGAATGGATCGATTGCTCCCCAGTTTCACCTTTAAACAGGTGTAAAGTTGTGAGGCTTGAGGTCACGAAATAAAGATAACAGGCCTGATTCTCATTTACGCTAATGTTACTTTACACCACGTTCGGCTGAAACCAATGGCAAAACTCCCCTTGACTTCAGTGGGCTCAGGATTTCCCCCTGGCAGTAGAAGCAGGCATTGAAGAGGATGTCAATGTAATTTACATTGCTTTAAGATCCCCCTGCACTGCTAGAGCAAAGTAAAGAGGTTTTCATGTAAACGAGAAGCAGACCCTTTGGGTTCAGTTGGATTTACAGCGGCTTAGTGGCACCGGAACAATGTAGAGAAGCGGCGGAGTGCCAGGAAATCTGTCCCTAAGGGTTCACACAGTGAAGAGTATTAATATTCAACAGAGTTTACAGGTCACCTATTGTTCCTGTACACTGTAATTTTGGGCTAAACCTTCCTGACCTTCCTCATGGGAGCATTTCCATTGATTTCAATAGGACGAGTCGTATGACAAATGTGACAAGGATTCAGTACAACAGCAGAGGGGATGCTGCTTCTATGAAGCTAAAGACACATTGGTCTCTTGTTTAAAAAAATGAGATGATCCAGCTAGTGCAACGCAAGACAGATCTAAGATCAGTTACAGCCAAATAAGGTTACATGGGGGGCAGAGGGGCAGATTTCAATCCATTTAAAGCCCTTTTCCAAATAAAGTCACCTGCTGCGGAACAGTTTACTCTCTCAATTTCACAAACATCTGTAGGCAGATGTTATATTTAATGTGCCTCAGGACTATTCAGTTCTCCACCATGCACACAGGTGTCCCCCAACACCGCAGAATAGCGGAAGATTAAATTTCGCTATGTAAGGAAAGTTTCACTTAAGTTACAGAACTTCACTAAGTGAGGAAAAACTGGGATATGCAAATATATTTGATTTTGAACTTGACCAATTCTGCTCAGTCACACCAGTATAAAGCTGGGTTAGCTCTATCGAAGCCAATGGATTTACTCTCAATTAACAGTGGTTTAAACAAAGAGCAGAATTTGTCCTTTAATGCTTAGAAATCTTCCTTAAAGAGCAAACACTCACGTTTGCACAGCGGGATTGGGTGACTCCAGCTTCCAGTTCCCGTGCATTCTGCTATGGGCTCCCCTTCCAAGCTGTATCCTCTGTCACAGTAATATGCTGCTCTGCTGCCAACTGTATTATTCTCATACAGTGCCTTCCCATTCGCCAAGGAAACCAGAGCTTCGCATTTGGTCTCTGCAAGGAAGTAAAGTCATTCATTTAAACTATATTGGGCCCCCACTTTATTCTTTGATATAGTGATGCAGTGTTTATAATAGCAACCGGAGAACAATAAAACATAATACGTGTTAACAGAAAAATCAGTAGCGCCGGAAAGAAAATATAGTTGGGTTGGTGCTCTACTGATGGAGAAAGGGCAAATATCCAGGCATGTTTTTAACAAGATCACAGAGCGTTTAACAAGGTTGGCCATGAGGCTTTGGACACCGGTTAGTTGAAGGGGATTGAGCTTCAGTGGTTCCTTTCTTTTCACATAGAGAGATCCCAGAGAGTAATGTTCTGCCTCTGCAGCAGGTGGTACTCGCCACCATCAGACCGGATACTGGACTAGAGGTATCACTGGTCTGATGGGGTGTGACAATTCCTGTATTCCAAATTGCACAAAGCCAGAAGGAGAAGCAGTCAGATGATCTGGGCTGTACTGCCATCACTACTCAAATGACAGGCAGCCCTATGTTTGGTCTTCCAATTGATTCAGATGGTGCAGTTTTCCTGCTACCTGCGAGACTAGATGAGCTAGCGGCTTGGACAAGAGCAAGTTGATGGGACCTTAAACCACGTAAGACAGAGGTGATGCCAGCTGACAGGCAGGAGAGAGCATCTAGAGATGTGGATACAGTAATATCTATTCTGTTACTGAGGGGCCATGCCCACCCTTTGTCTTGCATTGTTCTTGCGTTCTCAGATGGTGGGGGCAGAAACACCTCGTTCATCTGCATCTGGCTAGATGCCTGTGATCTTTTCTTTCTGATGTGGGTCATCCAGACCCCAGGCCAAATTATCACAATATGCTCCGCAACTCGTTACCCTTGAGATCTGTGTGATGGATGGTTGTTAATGCAGCATCTGAATATCTTTTCCACCTGCCAATGAGCTAAAGGTCCTACCTCCTGTGCCTCTGGATTACCTGCCTGCAGTGGGGCTGTGAAGTGATCTCTGGGCCCCGCCCCTTCACACGGAAGGGGGTCACTGGCATGCCCTGAAGGCTTACCCTCCAGGTGCTGCTGTTTCCCTGGCTCTGGGGAGAGCAGTTCCACACCTGTCTGAGTGGGACACCATCAGCCTTGGCAGCCAAGTGAAACTCGCAGTCCTGTTGGTGGCACTGACTCCTGAGGATTGTGCCGCTGGGTGTGGAAAGGCATCAAGGGGGTCAGTTAGCACAGCTGCCCTTGCTGCCTGGCTGCGCTGCTGACACCTCCCTCTCTCATCTCCTCTGCCCTGTGTACGCCAGGTGGCCTCTCTGTGCCGCTCCGCACCAATGTGAAGGGGTCAGATCCTCCCTAAATCTGTGTGAGAGGCTGGATGTAGAGAATTTCCACTTCACAGGCGGGGAGGGTGAATGAGGATGTCAGCAGCAAATAATGAGGCTAAAGGGGGTTGTAAATGAGGGGCGCTAGGGCCCAGTACAGAGGACAAAGGGTATCTGTGTCAGGGGCAGGAACTGCATGAAAAGAAGTGTTGGGGCAGGAGTTGAGCTCAAGAGAGCGTCTGTCATGAGAAGGCGCTAAGGACACAAAGAGCCCAGAAAACACAGAGGGGCTTTTCCGAGGAAAAGAGGAGCACGGAAAGGGGAAAGTTAATATTTAACGTTTAATGCACATTATAAAGTTTATAATGTACGTTTGTTTAATCTACTCCCATGTATGTTGATTTTGGCCAGTGTCATTGGAGGGGAAAACACTGGATGTCCATACATATTTGGGATCTTGTCAATTACTTGTTCTGCTTTTTTGTTGACAGCTCTGCCTCCTGGTTATAAACACAAACAATTCATGCTTATAATGTATTCTGGTTTGGGGCAGGAATAACAGGACATATTTAAGCACTCTTTGAGTTGAGTAATTTGCGGAAAAGTGTGTGTGTGTGTGTGTGTGTGTGTGTGTGTGTGTGTGTGTGTGTG